GACCCCAAAACATGGTAGGAGCAAGCAATTTCTTCATGATGTGGCTTGGGAGAAAATGATTCCCTCAATGTAAATACCCCACCTGGCTTTTCAGATGAAAATTTATTCATAGTACAGTATCTCAGTGCAGTACTCATAGATGGAGCAGATATAATCACAGCCCCTCAGGAAGCATTCTAATAGGATGTTAGAAAAGAAATCAACTTTTGTCATAAAGTCTGGGTATAGCTAATAGGCCAGTTTGAAGTTAGACAGTGGAAAATAGAGCTGAAAAGGTATGTTGTGGCCTCATTGTTGAAGACTCTGTGTGTGTGTGTGTGTGTGTGTGTGTGTGTGTGTGTGTGTGTGTGTGTGTGTGTGTGTTTAAGTTTAAGCTATCTTGGGGATCAGAACTAGAAAGCAGAGTGTTTTCTGCTATAGTGGGAGCTAGACTCTGGTGAAAAAAGAAGAATATTAATTACTGTTCCATGTAGACTGTTCTTCAAATCAGATAATGCAGACCATCCTCAAGTCATTAAAAAGCTATCCAGGATTTGACCTTTTCCAAACAAACTCCAGTTAGATTTCCTCAGAATAGCAAATATTAAACAACGGTGAGGTTGAAACTCCCTCACTTTAGCTCTGCTAGCCTGATGAGGTAAACTTTTGATTGACTTGTACAATCAGACCAACGTGAACAGGACCTGTACACCTCTTTGAATCAAAGTCTGTGAGAGACGGGGTCACACCCTAAGAAATCTGTTTGGATATTTAGAGCAAATAATTTACATCAAATCTTTTATGAAGTTAAATCTGCCAATGATATGTCAATATAAATAATTTTGACTCACAAAATGCTTTTTTTAACTGTAAGCTATAGGTCCATGAAAAGGAATAGAGAGTCCATCCATTCATGACATAAGGAAAATGTCATGAAGGTCAAAGTTTTGGTGAGGGCAAATGGATGATTAAGAGGATGATAACTAAAGATAAATTTAGATTTTTTAAATAGACTTAAAAGAGTACTTGAACTTGAAGGATGTTAGCAATTATTATATCAGGCATTTTAGCAATGAATAGAAAGAGCAAAGACTTGACTTTTACTTTTTATTATTTTTTGAAGTAGTAATCAATAATGAAATAAATTGTTTCCAGAATGACCCAGAAACAGTATCAGTGCTAAAATTATCTGTAATTCTCCAAAATCCCCATGAGAATATGTATGTCAAAATCGCAACTGAAAATAGTGATGGTTGTTTCTTTGATGTTGATGGTGTCACATGGGATTCATCCTATGGTAGCCAATAGTTAATCAGACTAATCATTTAGATATAAGGTGTGTGCTGCCCATGTACATTATGTTTATCCACATACAATGTCAAAACACAGCTCATGGAAAGCATTGATAGATATCTCTGGAATCTTGCTCACTCCTCTCTAAGAAAGACTGTGATTCCTGCCTTGCGGAGGAACAAGAGAAAGGATCATGAAGATGAGTGCTCAGTTCTCCACAGAGATAAGGGTACCAGACTAGAATTTTATCTGTCTGCCCTCTCTCCTGCCCCAGCTGCAAAATATTGCTGGTATAGGGCCCTGATTGGTTCAGAACAAAAAGCTACTAGATTTCCTAGTAACTCTCTCTTAAAGAGGAGAAGCCATACTAAGCTTACACATGCTTTCTTGGCCCCTTAATTCCAAAATCTGGTTTCAGAAAAATAGATAAAGCAGATAAAAAACAAGAATAAGAGAAGTTTTACAGATTAGATTATATCAAAAAATACAGAAGACTAAATCTACTCTCCCACTGGGAGCAAGATCTCAGCTCAAACCAAGAGAGTCCTCAGTCTTGCCAAAGCGGATATTCCTAAAAGTCTCTTGGGAGGCAAGCTGAAAATCAGGGACATGTTGAGGAACAGACTTCCCTACTTATCTTTAAGAAAGCCTTTATCTTTCTTCTACCTGGAGATATTTCTGAATAGGATCTGAAATCACAAGTCTTTTTTGAATAAGGACTCAAGAATGTCCCACCTCTACAAAACTCTTGTACAAATTGCAGCATCACATCAGCATTCTCTCTACCATTTAGGAGATTGTCATGAAAGACAGTGCAGCTAGGCTAGAAATTGGAGTTACAATGAAACTGCTGTGTTTGAAAGATTTGGTATGACACAAAAGAAGTGAAGTGAGGTCTAGGATTTCATCACCATGGTAGTCATCCAAATTCCACTGAAACAAATTTTTAACTGAACTAGTATCCACATAACTTCTAGCTATTTCAAAATATCAAATCTGTTCCCACCAGAAGAATGAATTTTTTTCCACTATTGGGTTACACTTTAAAGAATGTTGTAGTTTTTGAAGGCAGCTTCAAAAGAGAAGTCCCAAAAATCTTCTGGGCTCTGTGACATCGTTTTGCAATACGTGTTTAGTCTTTCAAAAGGACAATACTCATTTATATCCATAAGTTTTGGTGTGTTTATTTACAAATAGGCTTCATTATTCTATGTATTTTATGTATACCACAAGCAAAAGAGTAGCAAAACTATAAATCATTTAATAATTCATACTTTTTACTAATTAAGAAAGCTTTCCAACTAAAAAATATTCTTTAAAGAAATAATTATTTAACTGTAGGGATATTCAGTATTCATGTCTTGGGAGGGAAGGGAATAAGTATTTATTAAATAACTCACACCATGCAAATTGGCAAAGATGACAAAAAATGGGAATAGTCAGTTTTAAAGGGTTTGTGTGGGAAAATAGGCACACTAATAACACATTTGGTAACTGTGAATTAATTTGACCGTTTTGGAAAGCAACCTGAAATTTTTCTAAGAAATTGGCTAAAAAGTTCACACATTTTACCAGGAGATTCCATTTCTAGACAAACACCCCTGAGAAGGTGTAGGATAGACAGAAAAGCCCAATAGATACCAACATATTTATAGCACTACTTTCTGTGGAAGCAAAGAACTAGAAGCAAAATTGACATCCCATCAACTGGGGCTGTCAACCAAGTATAAATGCAATAGAATATTACTACACCATAAGAAATGATGAGTATGAAGAAAGCATGGAGGCATGGGAAGAATTCTACAAGCCAAGAGTTAGTGAAGTGAGCAAAACCAGGAAAAGTTTACAAAGTAACTAGGGTATAAAAATAACAATAGAAATCAAGTCTGAATGGTATGCAAATTTAATGAACAAGCTTGGCAAAAAGAAAGGAGATGTGGATGCATCTACCTCTCTCTTTGCAGGGATGAACAGAGCATATATTTTGACTTGAATGATGTACTAGTTAGTTTTGCTAATCTGCCTCTTTCCTCTTTTTTTATATTGTTATAAGATGTCAATCAATCAACATTTATTGTCTCATATATGCCAGGCACTGTGTTAAGCCCAAAAGACAAGATGCTCACAGTCTAGTGGGGGAAGGCAACAAGCAAACAAATATGTATGAACAAACTATGTACAGGATAAATAGGAGATAATTTGCAGGGGGAAGGCTCTAGAATTAAGGGGGCTAGGCAAGGCTTCCTGTAGAACTTGGGATTTTAGTTAGAATTTGAAGAAAACCAGGGAGGTCAGTAGTCAGAGCAGAGACAGGAGAATATTCCAGGCATGGAGGACAACCAGAGAGGATGCCTGGAGTCAAGAGATGGAGTGTCTTGTTTGTGGAACCTCCCGGAGAAAACTGCCAGTGGATGGAAGAATACATGTCAGGGAGTATGTAAGAAGACTAGAAAGGTCCGAGGGGCCTAGGTTATGAAGGGCTTTGAATGGAGCATTTGAAATCCCCTAGTATGAGGACAGTAGTGAGGAGGAGAGAAAAATGGTGAGCAAGGTACTGAACTCCTTAAGGAAGGTATGGAAGTGATCTTTATAAACAACAGCTACAAGGATTTGGATTGGGTCATAGATAATGAATTGCATGAACCTCAAAGGAAGAGATGTTACTGAATCGAGGAGGTTGGGAAAAAACCTGGAAGTGGCAATGGGGAGCAAGGAGCATTCCAACTCCCTGCCTGCCTCAAACAGTGAAATGCCTCTCTGAGTGAGTGGTTATATTGGGAAATGAAAGTGATATAAAAACCAAAGGTATCAATAGGAAAAAAGTTGTGAAGATAAGCTTGACCTGAGTTGATCCAACTTAAGGTGATTTGAGAGGATTTTGAAGGATAATGTGCTCTACAGAGATGCCAGATTTTGCTCTATATGGATAGTTGTGCAAAGTTCATAGCTTCTTAGGGCATATCCCAGCTATAATGCTGCCTTGATTATTGACTAAGTATGTTTTAGTCATTCAGTTAATATGTATTAAGCAAAGCGCTGGAGCAGGAGCTATAGAGAATACAAAGGAAAATATTGCAAAGAGGTGTCATGCTGACACCAAACAGGCTTTGCTAGCTCTGTTCCATTATTGTACTTTTAGCCTTTTCTTTCCATACAGTTTTCTCAAATGCAGTATTATGGCAGTTTATTTAATGGGTTACCACAGCCAAAGAATTCACCACCAAGTAGCCAACAGATTTGGCTTGATGAGCCTCTTTTATATGTAGGCTGGTTCTCAGGAAGCAGACAAGTTGCTCAGAATTATTTGAAGCTTTTCCAGCCTGGTAGAACTTACTTGACCTTGTACTTGGTTAACACAGTCTTTGAGCATCCAGGGTCTCTTCCCGATCACACTAAAGCATTTGTGTGGGATTTGTGGAGAACTATGTAAAAAAAGTCATTTTTTTTTAAAAGGATTCTTCTAAAGTCAATGATTTCTTTCTCAATTCTTTATGCCCAAAGAGTCTTTGACTCACTCTTATTCACCCAGAATAAGGTCATGTAATACATCTTCTTTTGATCAGTAGTAGGCAATGAATGATCTTATATGCATTTGAGGGTTTTTTCATATTGAGAAATTGAATGATTGAGAAGGACCCTTGAGAAATACTAAAATTAATTTAAGTATTAAATATAATGTAACTTGTTGAATTCTGTCATCATGCTTTGTTTCTCTTTATATACATTAGGCACTTGGAGGTGTCCCAGGAAGTCAGCCATTACTGCCTAGTGGAATGGACCCAACGCGACAACAAGGTCAGTTCTTTAAAATGTATGTCTATGAAATTGATGCTAAGAATCTCAATTTACTTTCTCAAGTAAATTTCCTTTCTGTAAGTTTCACTTTCTGTTCCATTGCACTTGTACATATAATTTACTCAACTGCAGCATATTAGAGACCTATCAGGAAACCTGGAATTTAATTCCAGACATGTCACTAACTTTATAACCTTGGAGAGGCCACTTCATCTCTCTAGGTCTTGGTTTTCTTACCTGGGGCAGTTATTCTAGAAAATTACTTATGTTTCTGACATTCTATAATTTGTATATTATGATTTGCATTTGTGGAGTCAGTATAATAAAATGGAAGAGGGGGGTAGGTAGGTGGCACAGTGGATAGAACTCGGGGCCTAGAGTCAGGGAGACTCCTCTTCCTGAGTTCAAATCCAGCCTCAGACACTTATTAGCTGTGTTACCCTGAGCAAGCCACTTCACATCTGTTTGCCTAAATTTCGTCATCTGTCAAATGAGCTGGAGAAAGAAGTGGCAAACCACTTCAGTATCTTTGCCAAGAAAACCCTAAATGGGGTTGCAAAGAATCAGACACGACTGAAAAGACTGAACAACAACAACAAAATAACAATAATAAAATGGAAAGATCACTGGAGTAGTCTTTAAGAGACTTGGGTTCTGAGTCCTTGCTCAGCAAGTTACTAGCCGTGTGACTTTAGACAGGTCACAACTTCTCTCAGTCTTAATTTCTTCCTGTATAAGATGGGAACAATAATCAGCTGTGCCTACTATATAGGACTGTTGAGAAGGTTCAGTGATAATGTATGTGAAATTACTTTGAAAATTGTAGGGGTCTATACTGATAAAGGTAAGAAAATATTGCTCTTATCAATGATAGATGTGAATTAGAATAAATAAAACAATAAATATCCTTGGAAGATAGGAATAACATAGATATTGAATTAAAGATAGCATCATTCTAGGTAATTGCATCAAACTCTTAACCCTCCAGACTTTTTTCATTATTGCCAACAGGTAGAAATATTAAATAAATTGAGTTTCACCTATTCTTGCTTGCTATTTCTGACCACTTCTGATAGAGAAGTTGGTAAACAGTGAAATGACCACAGAACGAACCAGAATAATTTACGTTACTAGATTACACACACACACACACACACACACACACACACACACCCCTTAATACTTGAGAGTTGTTTGTCATTATTAACTGAAATTTATATAGTGCTTTACAAAACACTTCCCATACATTATCTCATTTGACCTTCATAATTTAATATGGTGGATACTTTAGCTCTTATCCTCATTTTGCTTTTGAGGAGGCTAAGGTCCAGAGAGGATCATTTACTTCACTAGGGTCAGTCACGTAACTAGCAGGCATGATTTGAGTCTGACTCTTAAATCTGAGGGATACTTTCTACCAGGAACAGGAACTCAACACTAGGGTACCCCCTAGAGTACCCATAAAGATGGGGCTATTCTAAGAGAATAGCAGAATCTCAGCTATAATAGGGAATGCAGGAAAGGATGCTAAGTAGTTTCAGAAATGGGCCATCTGTTGTTAAGCAACTACAATTTTAAGTCAGGTGCCTGAAATGTCATCATCTTATATAAGTATAAAAACTGTTGACCCTTGTTTGGCATTGATGCACATTGAAATCTTACATTTTCATGTCTTTTTTCAGGACATCCAAATATGGGTGGACCAATGCAGAGAATGACCCCTCCAAGAGGAATGGTTCCCTTGGGGCCACAGGTATTTGGCATGAATGTTTGTGTGTGGCAGTTGACATAGGTAAACCATAAGCATGGCCAAGAGACTTTTTATGATGTAGGAGCTGTAGGACAGGACTAACAATAATGTTACATCACATAATACTCATTTCTTTTTTCTGCCTAAGTAATAACTTTATTACAAATTCATGTGCTGAAATGCAAAAATATCTTCAGCAATAATATACAAAGTGTATCTGAACAGTAATGTCAACTGACTGAAAAAAAGAGTCTGGCCAGTTGGATGCAAATTTTTGCACATGTATTATGAATTTTCTAAATCACATCTACCCCAATAAGGGTCTTTAAATCATTATAACAATGTGTTTATTTCCAAAACAGGACTCATACATAATATTTATTTCACACTGGCTAACCATATTATATCTGGCTTTTAACATGACAAATGCCTGATATAACATTGTGTTTCTGGGGACATGGTTTTATCTGTGTAAATCCAAATCTGAGGAATAAATCATGTTGTAACAGCTTTACACTTTATTTGTATAGTGCCTTTTCCTCTTTAGAGGAAATGTATTTAAAAATATAATTTAGTAATTGATAGGTAGCAATGCCTTTCTATTAGATATACTAGAAGAAAGGTTGTGATATTCTAAATAAAAATCAAGGTGCTGATAATGTTAAATAGCAAAGCATTTTAAAAATCATGTGAGTTTTATATTCACAATTTTCTAGTATACACAAGAGGGCCATTGAGAAGTCATCTTTGAAGTATGTTCTTTTGTACAGATCTAATACTATTCACTATATATCAGCTGTACTTAACCAGAAGCAACAGATTATACACTAGAATTGAGACTTCTCTATCCAGCAGTGGCATTTTAAGCGTTTTGTTCCTGGAGGTCAAATTTGTTTTAGATAGTTTCTTTACATTTTTCCTTACGTTTGCAAAAAAAAAGTACCTGAAGTGGAAATTAATTTCTAAAGAGTGAATCAAAATAATAGAAATGAGAGTTGTATAAACCTGTACAGGGGGCTTTCATGTGGTTAGCAGTAGTCAGTGAATTTCCTTCCCTGTCATCCTCATGAAAGCAACTAATAGTTTTGCTCTTTTAGAATGTATTTGATGCCAGTTTGGATACATAAAAGGAGCGTTGGGCTGGTTTGTTATTTTTCAAGTACCTGACAGAATTTCAAATTAAATTTGTTCTTATGGCTCATTTGAATGGCTATAATAGTCATATTAACTTATGCTAAAGATAAACTATTTAGGTTTTCCACCTGGCTACTTTGTGAGTTGGTGTCATTTCATTCTTTGTACTTGTATCCACAGTGCCTGTAACATAACAGACATTTAATAAATGTTTACTGATTGATCAGATAAGAAAATATTTCCATTGAAGTTCTAAATAATCACTGAAATTGGTAACCCCATCCTTTCTAAGCTTTCATATTTTTCTAAGATTAGTTAAAATAGGTTTCCAACCAAGATATCCAAATTTAAATGAAACCACTCATTCTGGACCCAAAATACTCCTAGGTAACCTTTAAGGATCTTCGGTTAGATACTTTAATTCTTTTTGTCCCCAACTTCCTAATGTAAGTTGATGAATTAAGTTTATTAAATTATATCCAAGTAGTCTAAGAGTTTGAACCAAAGAGTTCAAAGTGTTAGAAATTATGAACATATATAAAATGATGACTTTATAGAATCATATGGGTTTTATATAACTAAACTTGTATGTTTTTAAATTATGTTTTTCAGAGTACTTACCTGAAACAAAATCTTACATTACACATATGCAAGTTCCAAACATATTATCTGAACCAGGCCAGTATTTATGGTAATTGGGCCCAATCAATTAATAGACGAGTATTTATTAAGTGCCTCCAATGTCCCAGGCATTGTACTAAGTCCTAGACATACAAAGAGAAAAAATGAAACAATCTTTGCCTTCAAGAAGCTTTCATTGAATCAGGGTAAGTGTGCATATATAACATGTATAGACATACATATATGCATACATATGTATGTGTGTACTCTCTACATATAGTGTGTATGTATATATGTGTGTATATGCATGTGTTATATACACATACACAAAATATTCACAATAAATACAGTGTAATTGGAGAGAAGAGCCATTAGCAACTGGGGAGATCTTGAAAGTCTTATCATCGAATTAGAGAAAATGGCATCTGGTAAAGTTAATAAATGAGAAAATAGAAGGGCTAAGATAAGATCTTTGAGGTACAACTACAGGTAGGAAACATGATAGGAATAATAAACCAACTGTAATAAGAATGGATTGTCACACATTTGGGAGGAGAACCGAGAAGGAGCAATGTCACAAAAACCTAAAGAGTATATGTTGAGGAAGGGAAAGTGTCAAGTTGCCAAGATGTTGAGAAGGATGAGGATTGAGAAAAGGCTGTCAAATTTAGCAATTAACATACTAAAATAATTGGTAATTTTGGAGAGAGTAATTTCAGCTCAGTTGATGAGTTTGGAGAAAAGTGGGGACAATAAATGTAAGAACTTTTTTTTAGTTGGCTGAGAAAGGGAGAAGTAATAGAGATGCTGGCTTCAGGGATTGGTTGGATCAAATGTGGATTTGAATTTTTGTTTTGTTTTGTCTTGCTTTGTTTTAGAATTGAGAAGATTTGGACAAGTTTATAGGTAGCAGTGAAGGAGACCGGAGATAGGGAGAGACTGAAAAAAAAGAAGGAATAATTAATAGGGGCAGTTTGCTGGAGAAGACAAGAGATGGTAGGATCACATAGAAGAGTTGGCCTTAGAAAGGGAAATAGTCCCCTCTTCATCAAAGACTGCAGTAAAGGAGAGGAGAATAGGGGATGATGTCAAGTGGCTTTGAGAGGAGTGGGAGATAGATGGGTCATAGAGAATGGTCTCTATTTTCTCAATGAAGAATGAGGTGAGACCCTCCCAAAAGTAGGAAAGAAAGAGAGAAGAGGTTTGGAACAGCCTTTGTGGGAGTGGGATAAAAAATGAAGGAGTAAAATAAGTTATTTTGTTGTGATAAAGGTTCTGTTGAAATTAGATAACATGAATTTGAAGCCAATCAAGGTTTTGCTTTACTTGTTTCTTTTCACCTAATGATCTTGCATAGGTCATTAAGAATTTTTAGCTGTTTTTCTATTATTTCTGTACCATGACCCAACTTCTTTGACATGTCCAAATTTATTAAATTTATTTAATTTTCAACTGACTCTTCGACTTTTATCATTCCAAACACAATAGTTCTACTAAGGAGGGTTGTTGTTGTTGTTTTAATGAATTTTATATTGGAGGAGTTATGCTGACATTGTTCAGAATGTGCCTTCCTGAGATGTCAAAGCCACTTAGACTTCATTTGAAAATGTAGTGTGAATTCTGGTTAGTTTGGTTATGCTCTAAATTACACAGTTGGGTATTTATTTGGTTTATGTTGTAAATAAATTAAATTAGTAGAGTTTAGAAAATACCCATTTCAAGTAAATTTTATTTGTGAGCAATGGCTAACAAAATCACAACACAGATAGGAATTCATTCTTTGAGATTATTCTTGCCTGTGGCTAAGCAACACCCTTGCTCTTCATTGTCACATACATTATAAACTTACATGAGAAATTAAACAGTTTTTCAAATTTAGGCTACACAGAGACAAAGGCAATTGCTTATACAAGTCATGTGTATTTAAATGAAAGAAGAAACTATTGTTTTGTCTATACCATATTAAGAAAAAATAAGAGCTATTCTTGGCCCAGGTAATCATTTGAAGTGAGGGGATTCTAATGAGAATTTATGTTTAAATTTCTTACTTATTTTAAACTTAATTACTTTAAACTTTGTCAATAGTAACATCATAACCCAAAATTTGCTTGGGGGGGACCAAATAGAACTTTCTTCTGTAAAATACCATATTGACTGTGATCTTTGAAATACAATGGAATATTGAATATTTACTCTTAATGTGTTCTGAGGTTGAGATTCATGTGGTAGAGGAAAGAATTCGCAAGCATTTTCAAACCTTAAAAATGGAAGAAAAATACATCTTTTAATCAGCAGAGGTTTCTCTAGAAGTTCCAGTAAGATGCCCAGATAACGTCCGTTATGAAGTTTAGAATGTATAGTATGTATGTGCTGATTATGTAGTTGACACGCGATAGTTCAGTGCAATTCATATTCAAAATGAAGCATCTACTGTGTGCAGAATGCTGTGTTAGGCACTGGGGATGTGGATGTACAAAGAGTAAATATTTGCATGATGCATGAATGGGTAAATGTTGCATTTGAATTTGTCCAAATTACCAAAAGATTTATCTTCCCATGTTCCCCACCTCACTTATTGGTCTCCATATTGTATTACTTTGTATATCCCTAATTAAGGTACTTTCTCAATTTAAAAAAAAAAATCATCTTTCTCCTTGCAATTCACACCAGAATTATTTACCTTTTCAATCTTGACTCACTTTTGGTGCAACGAGGCATCCAGATTAATCTGATCTTACTAACCTTGTGTTCCTATAATCCAAGGTACCATTAACCTAATGATGAAATTATACTCAACTGCTATACTCCATGAAGGAAAAAAAAAAAGTACCAGTTGAAAAAGATCAGTTTGAGAACTGGAAAGAGATTTATTCTTTTATTTTGCTACCACTGGCAAACTAGTTCCTTGATACAGGGTTTGGCTTCTGATGCATTAGAAAGAACATTATAGCAGTTAAATGAGTGAGCTTCCTATTATAATTGCAAGTTTTAAGGTAGCTCAATGACCACCTGTGTCAAGGTCTATAGAAAAGACTTGCACTGGCAGACTTTAAATTAGATGAATTCTAATGTTCCTTCCAACTCTATAACCTTTTCATTCTAAATTAGCTTTAACCATTATGCTTAAGAAGTTACATATGTATATATGTGTAAATATACAAATTAATGATTTTGTGAGTATGCATGATTTAGTTTTGGTTTTTTAGGTTACTATGGAATCTATAATTTAACTCTGGAATTTTAATTGTGATCATTGAATATTTCAAATCAACTTTCTTACATTGAATTCACTAGCATTAGCATTTATCTTTGCCTGTGTTGTTGTGCCAAGATGAGAAATCTATAATTTATAAGAAATCTCCCCAATTAAAAAGTACAGTGTTATGCACACAGTAGTTGATTAATAAATGCGTGTTAAATGTTATGATTATAAACATTTCTCAAATTCATTTAATATGCTTCAATGAGCCTACATTTTCATACATTTTTCATAAGCTAAAAATTAAAAAGTACAAGAATGGATTCCTCACTGAATTGCACAGGCCTTATCCAGTCAGCAATTGTGTAGGGAAGTCATTAACCTGCTCTCCTTTCTTTCCCCCCTCCTCTTTGGTTTTGTTTTTTTGTTTTGTGGTAGTCTGACCCTTGGTTATCATTGCAGAACTATGGAGGTGCAATGAGGCCCCCTCTGAATGCTTTAGGTGGCCCTGGAATGCCTGGAATGAACATGTAAGCAAATCTGTTACACTATTCTCTTTACTAAAATGACATTCTTTTTAAATCCAATAATGAGCTGTGGCTCAAACCAAGAGAGGGGGAATGTATGTATTATTTAGTTGAATAGTTGAATATCATAAAATGTTATCATTTTATTCATTTTTTTAAATGCTCTGCATATTTTTATTTTTTTCCTTTTATAATCTGTGTAAATAATGGGTGTGCCATTTTCAGGTTCCTATAATGTAAACTTTTTGCTTGATGTTTCTGTTAAATTTTAATGTTTTATCGCATGCCAATTAATAGGTATGCATGAGATGTCAAGAGAATGAGAGGAAGCTCTTCAGCATGTTGGCTAGATCTCCTGAGGCCGATATAAGAAAGCACATGGACAGGAATAATAAAGAATGGGCAAATGGTTACAATCTGTGTTACTGTAGCCACATTGATGAGTTCATAGATTCCTTATAGTACCAATTATGAAAAAATGAAGTCACAAAAAATAAAGATGTAAGCAGCATCGTAATTCAAACCTGCCATAGTAAAGAGCCTTATCTTTTTAAAATTTGATTTCTACATTTAGCCAATTAGCCATTGAAAAAGACAAGACTCACCTCTGATTAAAAAGTAAGCTTTGATAAAGCCATCCTCATTAAAAAGTAAGCTTTGGTAAAGCCATCTTCATCATTTTCTACTCCTAAAAGAACTCTGATGAGCGTTTGATTCAGCCTGTCATAGAGCAAATGGCAGAGTTTTACTGAAAAGGCTATTTTAGAAAACTGAAAAGTTATTCTCATTTGCCATTGTACTGGAATTTATTGAGAAAATTCCCATTTCGAAATTATCTAATTTACCCTACAAGTTCCATTTGCCCCAGGTTAGGTGTTATAAAAGTCACTGGTAATCTGGAGAATCCATTAATGAATTGCAGATATGTGGCCTGAAGATGGATGATCCAAAGTAATAGAGGCACTTTATATAATACTGAACATTGTGAAAAGGTGCTCTACTAGAGCATTTTTTGGATCCAACTGTATCTAGTGCACCTACCCATTAACATTTTACTGGCACTGAAAAACATGCTAGTGATGAATAATTTTGTCACAAGTTGAGCCAAAAATAAAATTGGTAAGGGCATGGGCCGTATGTGATTTCATTGGTGAAAGGAACTTCCAGTTTGGGAAACTCCCTCTACCAAAAGAGATTGACAAACATTTGGCTACTTATGGTCTCAGAGAATTCCAAAGGGAACTGGGAGGTCTAATGACTTGCCATCAGGTCACGTAGACAGTATGTTAGCTGCCTCTGGTAGTAGTTTCCCAAATATACACTTCTTTTCTAGAATTACTACTTTAATAACATCAGAATTAAAGGTAAGTAATCTGTTTTAAAAATGTAAAAAATTGAAGATAGGAATTAAACTGCCACATCATTAGTATGGATAATAACTATAATTTTTTTGGGGGGGTGAAGTTTATAGATTAACTTTGGTAATCATTTTAAAGTCATTAATATATATCTAATTTCTTCTAATCATATTTATATTACAGTTATTTGGTGTATTAGGCAAACCAGTTTTAGAGTATGAAAAGGTATTATTCCATATGATCACTTATGGCCTTAAAATGTTCCTTGAATCTCTGAAACTATAATGATTATCTTTGTTCTCCTGTGCTTGCATATATGCATAATTAATAACTCATATCCAAATAATATTTTCTACTATGGAATCTAAAAATATATTTTAAAAAATTATTGTACAGGATCTTTAATCATTAGATATATACTTTGGTTTTATGTGATCATTAAAGATAATATATGTTTATGTATATATATCCAGGCTGTGGATCCAAATATATAACAATTTTTCCATTATATCACTCTTAGGAATTTGTATGATGCTTAGATCTAAGAGTCTCCAGCATATTTTCTCCACATTTTGGTGATTATGTATTATGCTACCTTTAGGATTGTGTCCTAGTTTATTTTCATTTCCTTAGAAGTTATGTTTCCAGAGAAGAAAATGTAAGAATTTGTGCAATCATGTTTCTTTTTTAAATTTCCAGATTAAAAAAATCTTAATATGTTTATCTGAAGATAAAATAATTGAATACATTTCAAGTCTTTTTTTCTGTTTTCTAAGTCCTATACATTTGTGGCTGTCCATATTATTTTCTTAGAATAAAATGAATTTTAGGTAAGATAAGAAATGTCTATTTCTGTGAGAATCTCATATCTGAAACAGGAGGGAAAAAAGATTGCAGAGGTCTACATTCCCATTTCTTTGTTAAAGACAGTTGCTTTGACATTAATGATATACACTCTAACTCATTGAGGGCCAGCCAAGTTTTATAAAAAAATCTGACCTCTTTCAATTTCAATTTTTATTATGAAATTGCATAGCTTAAAGTTCATTCCTACACTGTATTTATATAGAAACTGCCTCTCTGACATGCCTTATGTCATGGGTTATAATGTTCATTCTTCATAATGTGATTGATATTAAAAGGGGGGACAGTCACAGAATTTTTGAATCTCATCTAATAATAATTGCCATTCAGCACCATTGTTCTTCTTCCTGCCTACCTCCTCTTACCCTAGCCAAAAATGCTCTGAAGGTTAAAGTGGATTCCAAATGTTCCCGAGCACTTGGAAGAAAATTTAGTATATAAATATGAGTTATTATTAATACTTTTCCTCTTAAAATATTAAAATGCAGTTTAATGGGAAACTCATCGGGGGCTATAAGAATAAATGAGTGTTTATAGAACATTTGAAAGTCATAAAATAAGAATTATTTTTATTCTACCTTAATAATTCTTGTTTAAGCTTCATACAAAATATACAAAACTATGATAAGGATAGCTGTGTAATATATTGTATTGTTTTTATCATGATGTTTAAAATGATAGATTCAACACTGTGTCTTGCAATCAAGGCTTTGTACAAAATTTTTGTATGAATTAGAGCCTAGAAATATTTATGGGTCACATTGCTGTCTCTGGTTAACAGGACTATCAGCCAGCATCAGGCCAACCACCAATTTAACTTGTTTTTATGCCTCTAGCGATTACTCTGATGCTGACTGACAGCTCAGCTACCCAATGACAGAGGATGTTTTAACTGAAAAGAAGCATCAGTCATATTCAGATGAAAAGAAAGTCCCAGGCATTAGTGTGAGCATGTAAAGTGTCCAATTCTATTTAAGAAACACCAGAGTAATAGCTAATGCTAGCAAATCTTCACTCTACTCCTCAGTGTCTTCTTTGGCAGATGTGGTAAGTATCCGGTAGGGGATGGCCAGAATTTCCAGCTGAGGCTGGAACAGTGCTTCTCTAAATGTGTGAATCTGTTTGTGGCCCTTTGCACGTGAACTCACTGTATTATTTGGCCCCTAATTGTTTCTCTACTCCATTTTTTATTTTTCTACATGAAACAAAGCTGAAGAGTAGGTAGTTTGTATAGAAGCACTTGTTTCCTGCCTAAATGATGCATTGATATAGGATCACCACATACTTCAGCTTACACCATAGGGTCTATGATGTCAGTAAGCCTTGAAAGCTCATCTCTGAAAGCAAGTTTTTTAGCAACTTAACTTTAGAACAAAGGTTTGTAGAGGACAGGTTATCAGACCAGGGATTTTTTTTTATCGATTGACAATAGTTTAAGAAACATAGCATTTCATACATATTTGCCAACCATGCCCTTGTTAAAATAGCTAAAACTGGTAGCTCTTGTTTGTGCGTTTGTGGCTTAATCCATGAGTATGTATCTACAAATACACATTTTTTTCTTTTGGTCTGGACCTGTGATTTCTTGGTGTAGGTAATTCCTGGCATAGAAGCAGCTTCTACAGGTAGAAATCAGCAGCAGCTCTGTAAGTGTAAGGGTGAAGTTGATTTATATTTACTCAATCAAATCACAGTGTCCTGCTTAAAGTAAATGATAATCAATTAATTTCACCCAGAGGTTTTATTAAAAAGTGCTAAAAAATACTTGGAACAGGAATGAAGAAGGATTCATATAGGCTGAGGAAACTTGGCTGTGTCCTATAGGTCATCTGTTAGTTATTAAGAGAGTCAAGATGAGTCAATTGAACAAATCAGAGCAAGCATGACTTTCTAGTAAAATTTCTGAGTAGGAATGTCCTCTGGAGGGCAGGGGGATTAAGAGAAGATTACCATTTGGTCGTGGACAGGTTTCCTGTCCCCTTTTGCTGGAGGAGGATCTTAGGATCTTTGAAGGGTCCAGGGGATTTTGGAGTTCCCATTATCCTTTTGGTATCCCAACAGTATCCCCAGAACTGCTGGCTAAGTTTCTGTTAGGAAAGGCAGTCTAGACCTAGATTCATGACTCCGCCAGGATTCCAGCAAAGAGCCTGTGCCAGGCTTGAGGGGAGCATCTTGAGCACCTCATGAATGCAAAGAACTTTCTGCAGCCAACAGCTGTGGATTACCCCTTTGTCACATGTGCTTGTTAAGCTTAAACCCACTTTTCCTTAGACCCTCTATGTACTTGCGGGAGAGTGTGTCACAGACTCTAGGAGGATATATAGTAAGTGTCCCTTTCTAAAAGCCACTGACTAAGGTCTGGCTGACTAAACTGATTCTCAAATGGGAGGAATTATATCAGTAGAAGGTATGTATCAAAGACATTAAAGAGTTACCCACCAACTCCTCAGGGGCACCCCTAAAACTCCTGACAGGGAGGTATGGCCTTGATCCACAACTCAAGATTCACCTGTGGAAGTTACAATAAGAATCCTCATAGCTTAGATAGGTCACATGAGTTATAATCTTAGAGAGTTGCCTGGAAAATTTAAATGACTTGTGCATGATCATGCTGCAATATGTTTTAAAGCCAGGACATGGGCCTAGACCTTCTTGACTCCAGAGCTAATTCTCTATGCCACCCTGCCGCCTCCCTCTCAAATATATATGTTATACTTATTGTGTGTGTGTGTGTGTGTGTGTGTGTGTGTGTGTGTGTGTAGAAAACATGGGGAGATAACCATATCTAGCTATAGTGGTTCCTATTATATTATTATTGCAAATCACAGTCACAGAGTTTCACTTTGTGAATAGTTACATCCAAAGAATTTTATGTTGTTATGGTGTATTACTAAAAATCAGCTTAATTTTTTCAGGAATAACTCTACATTGGAGAGATGGCAAGATGATGGAGATTTGAATGATCATGACTAAGCACTGTTTCCTTACCTTAAAATAACAATAAATGCACCAAATAAAGTAAAAAGAACAGCAAAATAAGGGTGGGGAATGCTCCTAGAAAATAACATTCTCATGGAAGAGGAAAAAGAGAAAGAATAATTTCACCAAAAAAGGCCTCAATGGATTGGCTAAACATTATAAGGCAAGAACAGTAAAGGAGGAGAGAATACTGGAAGGCAAGAAAAAAGGAACAGGACTTCTAGAAGGAAAACTGGATCTCACACAAAAATCTTCTGGGTGGTAATAAGCTCAATAACAAAAATACAAAGCTATCTGGCATCTATAAATGTAGAATTAAAATCAGTAAAGGAAAAAGTCAAATCAACAAGGTACATATTCGATTCAACAGTTTGGACCAGAGGTGGGGAAATTCACAGTGAAGTTTGGATTCAGTCAAAGGGCTGTACTTCAGGACCTAACGGTGGCCTTGAGGCCACAGGTTCTCCACCCCTCGTTTGGAGCATTCATTGGAAAGTATTGATTAAATGGCAGAATCTCTGAAAAATAGAATAGTACCAGTGTAAGAAGAGGTAGAACAAATAACTAAGCAAAAATTTGAAAGAGATCTACTATAAAAACGTCTACATTCTTCAATATGAATACAACATGGATAGAGGACAGAACCTAGTGAGAAAACCTGAGAATTACTGGTCCATAGGAAGCATTTGGAAAACAAGAAAAGGTTCTGAATACCATATTTTAGGAAAACATACTAAAACAGTTTCCCAGAAACTTTGAAAACAGAGGACAAACTGAAGCTTGATGAAACATGCAGGACTTTGACAGAGAAAATACTCAAGTTGAATTCACCCAGAAATTCAGTTGTGTGCTGGAAGGCCACAGGTTCCCCACCCCTGATGCAGGAAGAAACAAATAGCATATCAAAAAGTATACATTTGAATCACATGGAAATTCTCATTCAGGATGAGAAATTAAATAAGAGCCTGGAATATAATTTACATGTCAATCAAAGAATTCATGGAAGCTTGAGGCAGATGGGTAGAGTTCTAGGTCAGAGTCCCCTCAATAGGTTTTGGGGACATTTGCTCAAAGTCAAGAGTTAAATGGGAACAATAGGGACTTGTCTAAACCCATCAGACTAAGAGATGATCATGATCAGCTCCAGATAAAGGACAGATGAAAGAAAAGGATTAATCTTGGCCAGGAGACTTTCTGATGACTTTTTCTCTTTTTTTAATATCCCAGCTAATAGAAACAATAGCTCAGTTTTAATGCTCTGCATTAAAAATTATCAGCCTGCTTGGGGGCAGCTAGGTGGTGATGCAGTGGATAGAGCACTGGCCCTGGAGTCAGGAGGACCTGAGTTCAAATCCAGCCTCAGACACATAACACTCACTAGCTGTGTGACTCTGGGCAAGTCACTTAACCCCAATTGCCTAACCAAAAAAAAAAAATCATCAACCTGCTCTTATTGGAGAGACAGGCTTTGTAGACACTGTAAGAGCAGAGGACCTAGGAGATAACCCTGAGGAGTTAAAGCCTAATGAATGATAGCAGAAAGCAACTTGTTAACAATGATGCCTACACAGATGGCCAACAGACACAGCTAGACACTGAGCAAAGAGATAGAAAGCCCAGCATAGGCAATGGGAAGTCCTGCAGAGATGCAATGATGACTCACAGAGAGCAGAAACATGACGCCCAGCAGAAATCAACAGAAAGTCAAACAGTGGTGTGTCCAGAGCCCTGAGCAACCTTGCAACCTTAGAAGCACAGTTGCCCAGGCCACCGAGCTTCCTGACTTGGGTGCCCTCCAACGATGTGCCTTGACTACGTGGATTAGTGGTGTGAACCTCTTCATACATATTCTCTGGCCACAAAGTTCCCTACCTAGTATGTTCACACACATATTCTCTGCATGTGTGCCTTACCTCATGTGGTAATTTGTGTGAGTATATTAACCCATGATTATGTGGGAGGATCTTTTCCAATCTTTTTTTTTTGCTATACTGTTTGAAATGGTCTTTTATTTTGACCTAGGAGAAGCAGTCATGGCATAGTGATTGGCATACAGTCATCAGTACTGGCTTCAGAGTCAGGAATATTGGGTTTAAGTCCAGCCCTTGGCAGGTGAAGGTTATATGACTTTGGGAAAATCACTTAACCTATTTGGAGCTCCCAAGCAACTCTCTAAGATTCCAAGTAGCCAAGCAGGTACAGATTTGCCTCCATAGATTTTTCTCCTCCAGAATATCCTACACCAATGAAATCACAAATCTGGATTCTTTTTTATAAACTGTTTCCAGTGGCTTCCTCAGAATATACTAGAATATGCCCGAAGTCCTTGAGCTATGGTTTTAGCAGTTGCCGACCCACAGAGCATTTTCAACCTGGGGTCTAGGATAAGACCAGTGTTTTCTTGACTTGGTGTCCCTGACTTCTGTGACTTGCTGCTTCCTTGCCACCTTATTGGCCCCAGCTTCACTGCTGCAGTTTCTTAGCCTGGGAACATTGAAGATCCCAGTTTCAGCTAATTGGGATCTCCCAGACTTGGTGGTCACCTGAAAGCACATGAATCACCTCTCATTGATGACACACTGACCAGACAAGTTTTCACATGGAGGTGAGGGAGACCTTGTCTAGCGAAGCTTGTATCCTTGCTATTTTTGAACAAAGTACACCTCCTTCATTCAACGATTCAAATGCCTCATTTCATCCCAACATCAAACCTGAACTAAGAGGGTGCTGGCTTTAGAGCCAGATCTACAACATGGTCACTTGGGAAGTATAGAGCTCCATGTAAGGAAGTGCTACCCCAGTTGCTAAATGTACAAGAAAATTTATTTTAAAAAACATTATTATCTTTTGAACCAATAATCCCATGATTAGTTTCGTACTCGGGTTATGCATAAGAAAAAAAGACTCGTCTGTACAGAAAACTTCAAAGTAGCACTGTTTGCAGTAGCAAAAGTCAGGAAATGATCTATGTGCACAATTAATTGGGGAAAAATTAATAAATTGTGGTATGTAAATGGAATATTATTATTTTACTGTATGGTATAATAAATATGAACAATTCAAGAAATGTAGGAAGACATATGAAGTGTGATACTCGGGAATAGAAGAACAATATTCAAACCTACCAGAACTATGTAAATAAAGGTGACATTAAACAGCAACAAATCTCAGATTAAATACAGTCATAGATAGTGCTACTACCCTTTTAAACTTAGAGCCTACAGCCTTTCTTTCTTTTAACAAATGGTAAATAATATAAGTATACAGCTGTGTTTTAGTCATTTATCTATATTATTTGGCTTAACTCTTTGTAGGGATTATATTTTACTTTTTGTCTGTTTTATTTTAAAATATTTATTAATAATGCTAAACAACAGCATATGTTTGTTTTGTTGGTTTTGTTTCAAAAAGATAATTTGTTTTGTTTCAAAAAGAGACATAGGAGAATAAGTTATTTCTGTGTTG